ACAGGGGTTAAAGCATAGCATTATGAAGCTATCCCCAGCCACTGCAGCACCAGTTTGATCCCTGGCCAGGGAGGTGACCCACGTGGTACAGCAGACCTCTCCTGTCTCACCCACTGCTCCCCTCAGCAGTGTGTTTCCGTCAATCTGCCTGTTCTCCCCACTCCGTCTCTGGTGAGTTCTCTCGCTCCCCCCACCCTGGCCTGTAACCCAGGTCTTCTATGCATAAATAAATAAATCTTTAAAAAATAAATAAAAGAGTATGTGCCATATCTCCTGACCAAACCCCAAACCAGAGCTGGGGGTGAAGTTGAAGGATGTGAGCATAAGCCAAGGAGAGGGACAGCAGGTGGTCACTCACCTGCAGGACAAGGCCGGAGGCCACCAGGGCGGTACCGACCCTAGACATGGCCTTGACCGGCACATAGCGTGGACTGGTACACAAGGCCTAATGCCAGCACTTGGTGAGTCTCCCAGCTCCCACCTTCCTCTCTGAGACTCGTCTTTTCCACCAGAGGGGTGGGAAAGGTGCTGGCATTTACTCCACCGAGACCGAGAAGGCCTCCAAGTTGGCTCTTTGCACTTCAACCCAGAGTCTGCCAAGAGCGACATGACCCTAACCTTGCCGTTAAATAACACCCCAAGATCACATCACTCTTAAAAGTCATTGATGGACATGCCCTCTGCACCTGGACATGTGGGAAGGGAGCCCACGGGAGAGCTGGGCCGTGAGACCAGGAGCCACAGGCATCGGAAGCCTTAGAAGAGGCACAACAGGAAGCACAGCCCGCGAGGTAGAGGGCCACGTTCAGGACTACGGGAAATACCGTCTGACTAAGGCAGGAACGGGCAACAGAGGTTGAAAAGAAATTGTAGGGGGGTTAGTAAAAGAACTAAGCCATTGTGGTTTCCCAGAAGTTAAGGGGCAGTTTAAAAAGGAAAAAAAAAAAAAGAGGAAAACAGAGATGGGAAAGCTGGGAAGGGATCTTGGATTTAGCAGTTAAGCATATTCACAACTTTTGGTCTTACAACAGGTTTAGGCTTTTCTCCAACTAAACCTCCCACACGCTAAACTCCCCTTTACCTCCATGCAAGGCAAGCAAATCCTCCCAAAGTGGTTTCCAGCTGGAAGAAAATTGGGGCTCATCTGAGGTCATCTCCCGCAAAACCATGCCCTTTGCCTCGGCTGATGCCTTCTTCACCAGCCAGAAAGACCCTTCTCCCCCTGTTCATAATCCATTTGCTACATTTTTTGAAACTTGGCCCCAAACTTACCTCTATGAGCTTTTTAAAATGATTAATCCCGTCTCATTCTAAGTATGTAGGTCTCTTCATAGTTTGTGCAAGTAAGTACTTCTTGGCACTCAAGTTTTTCCAGATATATATTAACACATGGATAACAGTGCCTATCGGAGAACAAGCTTCTTTGGTGAAGAGGATAAATCCCCGATATTTTGTTCTCCCCTTGTTATGTCCTCTGTACAGAGGTTGCTGAGCAAATGTTTTGGACTAAGACTGACTGCTGAATATTTACTCAAAGCAAGTTATTTATTAGCAAGTGTGAGTAATGGGGAGGAAGGCTTTTTGGAGTTGACTATGTGCTGATGCTAAAACCTGTATTTTCATCTAAGCTGAATTCTAAGACAAGGGTGGAGTCCCATAGAATGCCTTGACGCTTGGTGAAGGATGAATTATGAACTGAATTGTCTACAGGGAAATCTCCAGAATCCTCTGTCCTGGGTGGCCATCCTAATTCTGATGACATACAAATGAGGAATCATATTAACAACTTCCGAATACCACCTAAACAAGCTCACAGAACTGAGTTTCTGTGTAGTAATGAAGAGAAAACAAGTCTTCCTACCACCAGAAGCAGATCTCAACAACATTGTTCGTCCTAATTTCTTTATCTTTGGGATAAAGTAGTTTTCTGGGAGTATTACCATCTTCCTTTCTTCTAAAAAAAAAGGATGTGGTCTTCAGAGTCATGTAAATCTAAATTACTGACCTGAATATAAAATAAAGAACAGAAAACATTTTTTTAACTTAAAATTTTCAAATCTAATTAGGCCCAGCATTTTAAGAAATAAAATTTCCAGAAACTAGGATAAAATTAGGTCCTCGACTTATGTACTATCTCAACGGCTCCTTCTTTTATATACTTTATTACAACATATAAAGGTGGAATCTTCATGTTCAATCCAACAAGTCCCAAAATAAACTCATTATCTCTTCTTACAAATCTGTGTTTCTATTTATGCATACAAGAGCTGGGGTGAAGGCCAGAGGTGCGGGGGAGTGAGAGATAGAAGAGGGTACAGAACAGGTAGATCAACTGAAATACACTGCTGAGGGGAGCAGTGGGCAAGAAAGGAGAGGTCTGCTGTGCCATATGGGTCAGCTCCCTGGCCAGGGATCAATCTCCTGCTGCAGTGGCTGGTAATAGCTCCATAGTGCAGTGCTTTAACCCCTTGTGCCACCAGGAATGGCCCCAAATCTGTATTTCTAAGCCTAATCAATACTACCACCCATTCAGTGGCCTAGCAATACAGAATATATATTTACTATCTTATGGGAGAGACAATGGAGAGAGACCATCTGGCAAAAAAATAAATGACAATTAACCAATAACTTTTATTACAAAAAATATAAATGCAATTTTTTAATTAAAAAAAAGCCTATGCCTGTAACAATCCTCACCTAAAACATCTGGATTCAGAAAGGCTGGAGGCAAAAAGGAAGGAAAACATGCAAATAAATGCAAAAAGTATATAATAAATAAAGCTTAGATAGCTGATATTGTGTATATATCGAAACAAAGTTAAATAGCTTTAAATGTAAAAAAAAAAAAAAGAGCTGAGGTGTGAATATCATACAAAGTTTCCATTAAAGCAACGTGAGCCAAAAGCTTGCTATATAATAATAATTAAGATACTCAACACTGAAGACAACCATCATGAACTTTATGCACTAAATAGTATACCACCAAAATACATAAAGTTAAAACTATCCAGAATATGAGAATAAATTAGAATAAATACTATAGGTACAGGAAATATTAGATTCCTTTATCAGTGCTCAGCAGATAAAATCAAGAAAATGACCAAAATACTGTAAGTTCTTATTTATATCTAATGTATACTTTAATTGAAATAGTCTATATCACATTAGGTGTCTATTATTAGCCATATAATTCAGATCCTATAAATCTGTGACGAGCAAACATTTTCTGTAAGCAAAGTAGTTTAAACGTTATAGGCCATAGACCCTCATAGCCAAGAGCTGCCATACATAATGCACAGGCTTTGGGTATGGCTGTGTTCCTATAAAACTTTATTTATAAAAGCACACTGTAGGCACATTTGGCCCAGTTTACGGATTTTTGCTCTATATAATTGCTTCTATTGATGTGGCCATGAAATCTTTACTAAAACAAAATATTTTGGACTATAAAAAAAAATTCTAAAATAAGAAATGTACAGGTCATCTACCCTGACTAGAAGGTGACAAAAACAGCAATAAGAGTAGAAACAACCTACTTGGAAAATCAGAGGCCCTTCAGGCAAAACCACTAGTCACTGCATTGTTTCTAAAACTCCAGCCATGCCACCGCATCATTTCCCGCCCATCCTGCCCCTTTCCTCGGCTCACCCCATGGGTTTTAAATAGCAGTGGGCGTGAAGACAAACTCCCAGAATGAGAAAGAGAAAAATCTCATAGCCAACATTCTTCTTCACACTCTGTTTTCAGTTCCCACTGAGGAGGGGAATACAAAAAGGCAGACTCCAAAGCAGGTTGCCAGATCCAGAGGGGATAAAAATCTCAACCTTGGGGAGGACTAGGGGCTAGGGCTGGACCAAGGAGAAGCCCAGGCGGGATCCTTCTGCTTAGTTACTGGGCTGGTCCAGAAGAGGGGCCTTGAGTCATTAGGCTTCCTGACTCAGCTGCAGGGCACTTCCCAGGAATGTTCTGCGTGGAGTCCTGCTCATTCCATTCGGCCCTTGGAGCCCACTCCATACCCTGGGAGCAAACTTTCTCTCACTCAGGTAACACTCCCTTGACACCTGCCCTCACCCAGTTCTTCCCTCTCCTGGGAACAGCTACTGCACAGACTGAGGGTGGGAGGCTGACCCCCTTGCTCTGCCTCCCACAGAACCCAGTCCTTTGTATCTGAAGTGGTTCGAGTATTCCCCTTCAGGCAAAAACCTGAATGTTGATTCACCTGATTCAACAGGTGTGGCATTTACAGAGCTTTCTGGAAAGAAGTCAAGAGCGGAAAGTTCTTCAAATTCCTTGACCATAAACAGGTTGCCCCTATTCGCCAGCCCTGGACGATCCAACCATCTTGGTCAGCTTTGGAGCATTCTGGAGTCCTACCTAGCTGTTGCCACAGGTGGGCTCCAGTTTCTGTCTCTGTGGAGCAACACAAGGGACAGCAAAAGAGGGGGTGGTGTAGGGCTGGGGGCGCCAAACTCACACCCAAGAAACGGGGCGGGGGGGGGGGCTTCTAGGATCACTTCCTAAAATCCAGAAGGACAAGCTGGCTGTGGAGGACAATATAAGGGCAAGTACCTCACATATGGGTGAAGCCAAATACAGAGTTGGCACCCTCTCTCTCCTGCTGCACCCCCTCTTGTTCCCACCCCTCTTTCCACTCTTTCCTCTTCCCCGAAAAGAATTGATCTCTAAGAACTGCTTACCTCCTGTCCTGCCATATCCCACTTACTCCAAGTGTCTAAAGAATGTGTAGAATTAGAAACTACCGCCGTGATTATCTTTCTGCTCTCCACTATCTTAGCTTGGAAAGCCCAGAGGATATTTCTGAGTTGTGTTCCACTACAGGATCTCCTTACTTGGGATTCTTTCTCTTTTTTTCCTCCTCGCCAGCTTAAGTTTCTTTACCGGGATTATCCCGTCGTAGTACCCCACCCCTCCCCAAAACGCACTCCCCTCGGGATTTAAATCCCAGGCGGGGCGCTCAGGGCTGGGCGCGCCGCACTTACCCTTTGTGCCTTGGCTTTGGCGGGTGAACTTGGGCAGCTTCACGCGTTAAGACGCAGCACTGGAGCCCCTCGGTGCTGGGGGACCCACGGGTGGCGATCCCGCCCTCGAGGCGCCGTGCTGTTATAAAGGCGCCGTCGCGGGAGGGAGCGAGCGAGCGAGGAGGTGAGCAGAGGGACAAGGGGCGGGAGAGGGTCAGGGGCGGAGGCCACGCCCACTCCCGTCCCGAGGCCCCGCGAGCTGTTATGAAAATAGAGTCCGGGTGCCAGGGGACGAGCCGAAAGGCGCCTGACGTCAGCGGCACAGTCACCCTTGACATAGGTGGGGAGGTGGGCGGGGTGGGGACCTCCTCCTCGGAGACGCGCACACAGGCGGGTCCCCGGGCACCGGGTAAGAGGGGGCCGGCCGGGACCTGCTCCTAACCAGCCCGCAGCTGTCACTTTGCAGGGCAAGCCACGCCGCCTCCCCGCGGCTACTCTGGGAAGGGGCTAGCGGGGTAGGAGTTCCCAGAGCCTGCGCGCGCCACCAGCGGATAAAGACAGAGTTACCTACCTACAGAAGACTGCCCCCCCCCCACTCCACCCCAGTCGCCGCCCTTCCATCTTACAGGGGGGAAAAGTGAACTTTTATCCACTTTTCCCCTTAGCTTAGTCTTTCTTTCCACCACTGTCACCCTCACTCCTTTCCAGGATGGGAAGCAGAGCTGAGAAAAGCACACCACCACCCACTCAGGCGCCCCCCCTCCACCCTGCCAAAGTGAGGCCAAGGCCAAGAAAAATTTCCTCCCTTCCACAGTAGCTCCCCACCCCGTTGTCAGAAGTCTCCTTCCAGGCTCACCTTTAGTGCTGGCTGGGCCTGGGAGAGGGAGCCTTCCCTTCCTTCCCTTTGACACTGCAGGTGGGATGAGAATGGACACACCTGATGAAGTTATGAAATAAAAGAGTTTGCCTTGGCAGCCTGGCTCCCCCTGCCCTCGGGGATGCACTTCTCTTCCACTATCAAGCCAATCCTGAAACTTCTCTTTGTTTACTTGTCAAACAGTCCTTGAGTGGGATAAGGCTCTACCCCACTGCCTGGGGAAGAGGTGAGCTCTGCTCTCAAAGTGCCCCCTAATAAGCTAATCTTTGTTCCTATACATAGGATTAATGGAGATTAATGGAGGGAGACCTAGAGCCCCCTAGCTTTCTCCGCACTTCCCTCAGATCCCAAGTTTCCCCAGTCTCAGTGGCTTTTAAGATGCCACTTTTTGGAGACAGTATCTCTGCTTTTGTTGGGTTTTTATTACAGTCCAGAAAGCACAGCCAGTATCTTGAGATCTGGAACATTCCCCTGAAGCCCAAGGCCCAACCAAGTCCACTGGCTTCTGTGTGTGCGTTAAAGGGAGCTGAGAGACAGGTGGGACTGGACGTGATGGCACTTTTCAGTGCATGCTACCTCCCAGTCAGGTGTCCAGTGACCTCAGGGCTCACACTGGTAAAAAGGGAAGTTGAACCTGCCCTGTCCAATGAGTGCTGAATTCAAGCCATGAGAACAGGCCATGTGTGTGAAATTTTCTAGCCGCCATGTTTAAAGAAGTAAAAAGAAGTGGGAATGAACTTTAACACCATACATTGATTAAGCCAAGTGATCCCAAACATTATCATTCCCACCTGTACTCAGTACTTTTAAGGTGATTAATGAACTGGTTTACATTCCTTTGTTTCCAACTCTGCCCTCCAAAGTTGAGAGTGCACTGTTCATACTTAGCACTCGAGTGCTCAAGGCTCATTTAAGTGGCTACCCGGAGCCCTACATGGCCGGTGGCCACCAGGCTGGACAGCAGTGCATCATGACAGCCTCGCTCAGCTAGGGCGCTTCCGGAGCCGAAATCGCCAAGCCTAGGGTGAGGTTCGTGACATCCAGAAAGGGGTGGCGAGTCAAAAAGGGGGGAAAAGCAGAAGGACGTGACTCTGGGACTTCTCCCATACTCTACACCCCTCCCCAGCACAAAAACCTCGGGGACCTACTGACTGGACTAGTGTCTGGCTTTTCCAGGGGCTCTCGCCTCTCCGGCCATGCCTGCCTGCCGGGTCCTGGCTGTGCACAAGAGCTGGATGGACGAGTTGTTGTTCTGAAGCCTGGGCCTCGGCCCCTGTGCCCAGTGTCTCCACTCTGCCTCCACCTCAGATGCCCTCCCTTCACCCTGCTGCCTTGCTTTAACCTCTCCTTCTCCCACCCCTTGTCAATGCCCCAGCCAGGGGTGGGGTGAGGCATCAGAGCACAACAGCCAAGGAGGCTCTTACCCAGCCCGGAGAGGGCACCTCCTTCCTTAAGTTCTGAGCCAAGGGCAGCATGCTTGTCTCTCCCAGCCCCAGTCCTGCCCACTGGTTGTCTGGGGAGGCGGAGGAGGGGAGATGGGGGATCTCGTTGAGTCACATCCTTAGGGGCAGTCCATGGAATAATTCCTTTACTGGGGCTCATCCTGCTAAATGGCTAAAGGGCAAGGCTGAGGTCTTGGAAATCTATGAAAGAAAGTATATAAGTGAGTTAGAGACCCAGATAGCACCCCCACCTCCGGTCACTCTCCTTTAAGTGTTACCTGGCTGCTGGTGACAGGTAGCTATGGAAAGACACCAAGGGAGCTCCCAGGACTGGCAGTGAGAAGAGGCGTGGCCCAGTCAGGGAGGCAGCCTCCCTCCACCGTCGCCTGCCCCAGGCAGCAGGGACTCCAGGGCGACCCTCTGTCCCACCACCAAGCCAGCCAGAACCCAGTCCCTGCTCCCTTACCAGCCTCCCATCCACCCTCAGGGCCGTGACCTTCCACTCTAGACCTCAGGAGTGAACCAGGAGTTTGAGTCCTAAGCAAGACTACCTTGGAACGCAGCGTTGTGAACCTCAGGCCAGGGGCTCCCCCTTCCTCTCCCTTCACCTTAGCAAATGGAAGGTACCACCTGTCCGCCTCCCTGCCCTTGAGTCTCACTAAGGGAGTCCCTGGGTGGTAAGAGAAAAGCACAGGGCATTTTATTTCATTACATAAGTGGGACAGCTGGTAGGAGCAACCAGGTGCTACTAAGAAAGGTTCTTCAACTCGATCGCTAAGCTAAGCAGGAAGACTTTGAGGACCTACTAAGGCACTGTGCTTAGTAGGGAATATAATAAAAGGGTGAAAAAGATACCACTGGGTCTCCAGCCCCTGGAGGGAACTTCCATGTTGATTCAGTCACTGGGGGGCAGCTGTGAATCACCACCTATGCAGCTGTGCTGGGCACCTGAAAGAAAGCTCCGTCCTGTGGGGATAGAATGTCCTCGTCACCCCAGAAACACACAGGACCACTGTGGGCACAGAGTCCCCCAGGGGTGGGGGGAGATTTGTCGCCCAGGGGAAACAAATACGCTGCTAGAATCTAGACCTTTTTTTTTTTTTTTTAAGATTTATTTATTTGCAGATACAGAACTGGGGTACAGGCCAGAGGTGCGGAGCGGGGAGAGGCTTCACCAGAGACAGAGTGGGGAGCAGAACAGGCAGATCTACGAAGTACACTGCTAAGGGGAGCGGCGGGCGGGTCAGAGAGGCGGAGTGGTAGGTGGGTCAGGAGAGGTCTGCCTCGCCATGTGGTCACCTCCGGGGCAGGCGGGGATCGAACTCATGCGGAAGTGGCTTTAGCTTCTTAGTGCTGTGCTTTAACCCGCTGCGCCACCAGGGAGGGCCCGAATATAGACCTGTTTTCAGAGGGGGAGGGAAGAGAGCGGGAGAGCAGGAAGAGGGCAAAGGCAAGGAGGTGTGTACCAGCCCTGCCGCTGATAAACTGAGCACAGAGCTGGCGGGAGACGCAGCTGGGCAAGAGCCGTGGCCAGATGGAGAGACGCTTGGGGACTCATCTCGGAAGCAGGAGGGCACCGAGGCTTGAGCCAAAGGATGGATAGCAGTGAGGTGTCATGGGAGAGGACGTGCACCGAGGGCCCTAGATGGTGCCTTTAGAGGAGGGGGCTGTGGAGTGGCAGAGTGGAGTCCACCACCCCAAGCCAAGGAGCACCAAGGGCAGCGGCAGCTGGCCAGCAGCCGGACAGTTCTCCCCGCAGGAAGCAGCCCTGCCAGGGGTCTTGAGTCTTGGGTCTTGAAACAAATGTAGGTCTGCTGTCCTAAGTTTGTGGAGCTCTGTACGGCAGCCCGGGAACAGTGCTCCGCTAGAATGTAGACCTTTGGCACATGCCCGTGTCTTCTGCGAGTGTCCCCAAGGGCCTGGCTACCCCCACCCCCCGCCAGGAGCCTCGAGGCTTCATCTTGAAGTGGCCTTGGTTTCGTCTTCTACCTCCATCAGGTGGAAGTGTAGAGTGTGCGAAGAGTAAACACCAGTGGCGCTGGAGGTGACACTTGAGGCCCTGGAATGCAGTCTGCAGGGACCCTGCACTGGCGCTCAGCACGAGGGCCTACCGCCCGCCCTGCCTGTCTCAAGCCTCTCCTTATCAGGCTGTGAGAAAGGCCTCGGTGACAGCTCAGACTTCCCTGCCTTTTCTGGGACTGACTGTGAGAGTGTATTCATTCTCAGGGTCTTAATTCCAAGGAAATTTATGAGCTGAACTCTTCGTGCTGAAACCAGAGAGCCACTGCCAGTAACCCCAAGGCTGGATTGAGAACCCCATTAAGTGCCCAGACTGGTTCAGTGATGTGAAACCTAATGCAGCTGTAAGAGTCTCCTTTTCCCACTCACTTGTGCCCAGTGGGTATGTTCTGCCCCCCTTCACACACACACACACACACACACACACACACCCTGAAATTGGGTTTAGCCAGGGTAGGGAGCCAAAGACTGAGGGGTCTGACATACTCAGAGCTGCTCTCATCTCAACCCCGTTCTTGGTTGGGCTCATAAACCAGTTTGTTCTGCTGGTTTGAGCTGCTTAAAAGTCTGTTGCTGAGCTACAGACAGGATATCGGAAAGAATTTGAACCTTGGAGTTAAGAAGACCTGGCCTCAATCCTACTAACAGCTCCCTGGCCTACTTCCTCATCTGCAAAAAGAGAGTTAATAACACCTAATTCACTGGGTTGCCATGTGCATCAAGTAGAATTACTCCCAGCAGAGAGGGGAGGTTCGGGAATATTCCTTCGCTCACTCTAGACTCTGGCACTGCCAGAGGCCAAGGAGGCTT